TGTGGGTGTGGTCAAAGGAGGCAGTTGAAGCCATCCAGTTGCTTGAAGAAATAGCTGAATAATCCTAATAGATTAAATTTATAGACTTTTGTAGCACTGAAACAAAAGGACTTAAAGCAAACAGGTATATTAGTATTAAAGAAAGACAGACAGGTATTTGTCCAGAATAGAGCAGCATTCTTAGTAGCAGAAATTAATGGAATGAACTAAATTGTTAATAGAGGTATGGTCAACAATATAAACTGCCAGGCTTTACATGTCATCTATCATTGTTGTTCCAGCATTAATGAAGAGCAGATTAAGTAAGCATCCATTTCCACCTGCATGAACAAATGTGCTTTCCTTTTACTTTTAAAACTGACCTAGTTCCTCCCAGCAACATCCCTATATATTTTGCATTTCTCATTTATTTTTTGACCTGATAGAAAGGAGGACTGGAGCTCCATTTGGTTCAGCAGGCAAGAAACATAAGACTAAACTAGGGATGGAAGTTGTGACTGGACAGTAAAATTGTAGGATCGAAAGTATCCTCAAGAATTCATCTAGTCCTGCTAATTGGGAAATATATTAGTGCAATTCTCTGTGTAGAGAAGCCTTTTTCTTAAAATAGCAACAGTACTGAATGTGAGAAATCTTTTGACTCCCAACTTGATTCTGAAGCTAATTCCAGTTTAGAGATTGGTTAATGAATGCTGCCCATACAGACTTTCTGTAATGAATAATCTGCATGAAATCTGCATGTAATCTTTGACTTTTTTCCTGTTCCATTACAATGTTGTCATATGTGCATAAGCCAATGGATTCTTTTTAGATATTTCATGGCTACAGAGTTTAAATCTTAAATTTAAGATCCCTATATATTGTTTTAATGTTTATAGTGCATTTTAATTGAAAGTTTGTAAGTCGCCTATAGTCACTGTGGCAAGATGAGCAGCATATAAATTTGGTAAATAAATGAAGAGTTGTGTTATTTTCAAGTGTCATGTAACCGAGTTAAGTTGAAATCAGATCCCCTAAACTTGGATTCAATGAACAAGTTTGGATTGAATGATTTTTTTTTATTGGCTAGTCAGGGGTAGGCAACCTTGGCTCTTTTATGACTTGTGGACATCAACTCCCAGAATTCCTGAGCCAGCCAAGCTGGCTCAGGAATTCTGGGAGTTGAAGTCCACGAGTCATAAAAGAGCCAAGGTTGCCTACCCCTGGGCTAGGTTAAGTAGAAAGTTCTATCATATTAAGAATTAGCAATTTATACTGTTTGTGAGAATCTGCCTTGGTTTTCCTTTTATTTCCTTAATGAACTTTTAAANCAGCCCCTGAGATATTGGAACACTGCTATCATGTCCCCCCTCGTCCTTCTCTTCATTAAACTAGACATACCCAATTCCAGCAACCGTTCCTTATATGCTTTAGCCTCCAGTCCCCTAATCATCTTTGTTGCTCTTCTCTGTACATGCTAAACATGTATAGCAAGCATAACAGTAAATTAAAATTTTTAGTGGTGGAAAGTTCAGACTAAATATTCAGTCTGGTTTTCTGAGTTCCCAAGTTTTAGGATGATAATCCTAAGCACCCGTACTCTCTAGTAAACGTTGCTTAACTACCATGCTTGGTATTACACAGTACATTTGTTAGTTCAGTTATGTGCTTCTACTCAAGAGATAATGTTGATTTTGTTCTTCTCCTCACGGGAGTTGTGTGAAGCACCGTAGCCTGAGTACTACTGCACTACTGTATTTAGACTGAGGAGAGTGGAAGTTGTTTGTCTGGTATATTAATAAATTTAAGTCTTCTGGGTGTACTGTTCCACACCAATGCCTTAATAGAAATCTTATCAGAAATAACACTTCTGTGGCTTTGCCCCAGATAAAGAGAGAGCACGGGCAGGGAATAATACCTGCCCTCTGGGCAAGGCTCTAGGCAAGGCCTGTGACTGTTCTCTGTGGATATGCCAGGAAATCAGCACAACCTAGTTGGACCCTGCGACCCATATTTCTTTGATCCAGACAATTCTTCCCCAAGGCAGAACTAGCTGTTATTTTGCCATCAGCACAGAAGGATGTGAACATTGGCTGTTTATCCAGGCATTTATATTTAGAAGACCAAAAACTAGTGTTGGCTGTTTCCCTTTTACATTAGCTTCTAAAGCTCTGGATGTATAGAGACACATTTTATTAGCTTAGCTTCAGCATAATTGCCATTTTCTAGAACTAACTAAAGCCTAAGAATACTGAAATGTATTAACTGGCATGTTTACTTGGAAATGAATGAAATGTAGAGGTTTGACTTTGCAGGTAGGTTTTGATTCTTAAATATACCGCTAGGAAGACGTGAGGGCCAGTTTTAAAAATAGAGGTGCCACTGCAGATGACCCAGCCTATCTAATATGGTGGATTGCTTTAAGAATTCCTTAACATTTTCTCAAACCAGGAGCTAACAGGATCTGAACAAACTATAAATAATTTTAATATCTCAAGGCTAGCACTTCCTTTAATTATAAAGCCAATTGTAGATTTTTATATAGCTTCCTGAAGAAACAATGCCCTTTCATGGGTTGTATTGTCAGAAGTGGCCAGCAACTACTTGTCCTTAATAAGCAGACGTTGCCTGGATGTTAAATGAAAGAACAGTGCCAAAGTAACTAGGACCCAGGGCTAGTTAAATTCTCAGACATATAGATTAATTTGGAATGAATGCCCAAAATCAGCTCCCTCTATCCTGTTTTTCCCACTATGCCTTTTGGGTTTCAGTTTCATTCATCCTTGTGACTTAGTGTGCACATCAAGCTGAGTTGTTATTTATTAGACCATGAGTTGCTAAATAAATTATATTAGAATGGTTTTGTCCAACATGCTATGCCAAACCTCATTTTGGCTTAGTCCAATGTGTTAACCCAGTCTACTAGAATTGTGCTTTTTAAGATCCCATCATTCCAAAGTCTAAGAATGTTATATCAAATACTGTATTTGCTTCAAACTTAGTCTTGGTTTAAGCCAGTATGGAGGTTATACCTACCTACCGTATTTCCCTGAAAAAAAGACCTAACCGGAAAATAAGACCTAGCATGATTTTTCAGGATACTGCTAATATACGCCCTATCCCCAACATAAGCCCCAGTTAAGATAGTTAGCCAAACGGAGGCATTTACCATATTTCCCTAAAAATAAGACCTAACTGGAAAATAAGCCCTAATGCGTCTTTTGTTTTGTTTGTTTTTATTAGTTGTATTCATTTATAACATAAAATGTGAAAATACGAAAGCAAATAGTAGGGGACAACAGTAGAAAAATGGAAAACAAAGTGTGAAGAAAGGGAAGGGACGAAACAAAAGGCATTGACTTCCGACTCTCTGTTGCAGTAAAATCAGACATTAAAATCAAATCTCAACTTTTTACATTTCTATAGTAATATACACTAGCCATTTCTGTATCAGCAAATCAGTCTAATCGGTAAAGCCAAAATCATAATATTTTTTTCCACTTCAAGCACAAAGTCCAGAAGCGGTTTCCAAGTAGAAACAAAAGTACTTATGTTCTTTTCTTTTATCGGTACAGTCAATTTGGCCATCTCTGTTAATTCCATCAGCTTTTGTAACCATTTGTCCATGGCAGGAATCAAGGCATCCTTCCACTTTTGTGCATAAAGCAATCTTGCTGCCATCATCATATATAAAATCAGAGTTCCAGTTTTTTTCCAGTTCTCTTTCCATGAGAAAGTTTCTGGTTTAATCTTAGCCATAATGTGTCTTTTGGAGCAAAAAATAATATAAGATCCAGTCTTATTTTCTGGAAAATATGGTACCTACATCTTCAAAGAACTTTTTGATGTCTTGATGATGGATATACCGCTAAGCTGGACATAAAATGTTCCTTGGTCTTTGAAAAGAAAATAGTAAAATAAAGTTGTCCTTTTAATAGTTACCAGTCTTGGCCCAAAATTATTTATCATATATTAACCTCATATTAGCCTCACTTCAATTGCATAAAAAGTACATATATGTCTGGAAAGTAATATAGAAAATAACAAAAGCTGAAATAATTTTTCTCTACTTATTTTATTTTTCTTTATAAGTTTTTGAAGGTGTCCAAAACTAAATATTTCTTTATTAAATTACTGTATGAGCCTTCTTTCTATTTGGCCTCTGTCACCACTCTAAATACTTCAAGCCCTTCTTTTTCCTTGTGTATCTGCTTTTCTTGCCTAACTAGATTTATTTTTTCAAACTTGGCTTCCCTCTAAGTAAAACTCTGCATTTATATACGATATATTTAACATCACTGTGAAGTGAAGCTTGGCTTGGGAATTTGTTTGTCAAACGGTATGAATGAGTCGTAAGTTGAAATATTTTAGGTATTATTTACCTATTTACCTATTTACAGCTTTTCCCTTAAGCCAATGGTTTTCATTTAAATCTGAGAGAACTTTGTACATCAGCTTGTCTACTGAAGAACTCTATGATTTCCTGCCATAGAACCCCTGCAAATGGCAGAGTTCTGAAGGGAGGACACTCTAGGATGCATGTTTGCAAGTATGGTGATCAAGTTTGTAGATTCCTATAATTGCCTTACATGGCTATTTCAATGAATATATCTAGTTCTTCTTTGCAAATCTAAATTAAAATGGAAAAATCTAACAGTGGGCAGATTTCACAATTTGTCTATCATTACAGATGCAGAATCAGTTTGGTCTAGTGCAGGGGTTCCCAACCGGAGGTGCGAGACGATATTCCAGGGGATGCGAAAACTTGGATTTTCAAAATTATAGTGTATATGCATAATTCGTTGCCCTTATTTCAAACTTTTGTAAGGGGTGCGAGAATATATCAGAAGCGTTCTAAGGGTGCATGGTATAGAATAGATTGGGAGCCGCTGGTCTAGTGGTTAAAGCAGCAGGCTAGAAACTGGCAGACCGTGAATTCTAGTCCTGCCTTAGCCATGAAAGCCAGCTTGGTGACTTTTTCTCATTTTGATTCACAACAGTCTAAAGACATTTCTTACATTTTTCTCCAGCTTGCAGATGACCGCATGGCACTGGTATCAGGTATCAGTTTAGATCCTGAAGCAGCTGTCTGTGTAACTAAGAGGTTGCCTCCCAAGTGGATTGATGGTATAGAAGAAGTGAGTCTCTCTCTATATATATATACATATAAAGAATATGATCACATATACATATATTCTGGAAAAGCAGTAGTAAAAATTGGCAGTATTAATGTGTTTACTTAATTTTTATCTTTCAACGTTTAGGGCAGAATGTAAAATTAGAAAATGATGATGATGATGGTGATGATGATGATGATGTTGGAAGGGACCTTGGAGGTCATCTAGTCAACCTGAGTTATAGTTATAGTGTCGAATTATAGTTTTAAAAATATTCAGTAGGAGTACATGATACCCAAGTAACTCCAAAAAATAGTCAAATCAGAGTTTGCTTTTTACAATTCTTTACAGTATTTCAGATTTTAAGAGAGAAAGGGACAGGGCATAATAATTGGTGAAATACAGATAGTCTACGACAGGTATGTCCAACAGGCGGCCCGGGGGCCACATGCGGCCCGCACCAGCCACACCCACCCGGGCCCTGCAAGGACAAAAAAACCAACCTGATAAGTCACAATATGGCCCGCAATGCAAATGGGCTTGACACCCCTGGTCTGTGACTTACAACAGTTCATTTAGTGACTGTTCAAAGTTACAACAGCACTGAAAAAAGTGACTTATAACTGTTTTTCACAGTTATGGCTTTTCTGGCATCCCCATAGTCATGTGATCAAAATTCAGATGCTTGGCAACTGGTTCATGTTTATACTGTTGCTGTGTCCCAAGGTCATGTGATCACCTTTTTCTGCAAAGTCAATGGGGAAGCCAGATTCACTCAACAACCAGGTTACTAACTTACCATCAGCTACAGTGATTCACTTAACAACTGTGGCAAGAAAGGTCGTAAAATGGGGCAAAACTCACTTAACAAATGACTCACTTAACAACAGAAATTTTGGGCTCCGTTGTGGTTGTAAGTCAAGGACTGTCTATCTGTATGGCATTTTATTCTCCTATTTATAAAGGAAGAGAATTTGGGGAGGGGAATCCATTTGATATTTGCAAAGATTCAAGTTGCTAGCATTAGCTGGAAGAGGAAATTCGTAGGGTTAAAGACAATAGGATTCCTAAGGAAATAGTTGAACTATCTTGTTGACATCACACTTAAAAAGGAATAAGTGAAATTACAGGTAGTCCTCGACTTGCGACTACAATTGAGCCCAAAATTTCCATTGCTAAACAAGTGATTTGTTAAGCAAGTTTTGCCCCATTATATGACCTTTCCTCTTAGAGTTTTTAAGTGAATTCCTGCAGTTGTTAAGTTAGTAACATGGTTGTTAAATGAATCTGGCTTCCCCATTGACTTTGCTTGTCAGATGGTTGCAAAAGGGGACCAAATGACCCCGGGACACTGCAACCGTCTTAAATCCATGCAAGTTGCCAAGCATCTGAATTCTGATCGTGTGACCAGGGGGATGCTGCAATGATCATAAGTGTGCAAAACAGCTATAAGTCATTTTTTTCAGTGCCAACTTCAAATAGTCACTAAATGAATAGTTGTATGTCGAGAACAACCTGTATTTCATCAGTCTAGTTTTGACTGAATTCGGTTTCTTAGTCAAGACAGTGAGAAATTAATTCAGATCAAGCATTTTGGAAGTGATTTGAACCCAAAATATGCTGGGTTTTTCCCTCTGTGGAGCCAACCCAAAGTCTGAAAAGGGTAAAAAAGAATCCACTTCTGTGTATATAGTTGAAACTGAATAGCATTTTTCTATAAAAAGCCAATGTGATCTTTTAAATATAATCAAGTTCTTTTAACTTTACTATTGTCTGGAATGTTTTCTTTGTTTCTAATTTTGCCCTTATTTTTTAAAAATTTCATTTTAAGATTCAATATGAGATATCCAGGATAAAACAGAAGATGAAAGAACTAGCCAGTTTGCATGACAAGCATTTAAACAGACCGACTTTGGATGACAGCAGTGAGGAAGAGCATGCAATAGAAATAACCACTCAAGAAATTACACAGGTGCCACTGTAGTTCTCTTTTTAAAATCTAATTGGGTTTTACCAAATGCAGATATGTGAGTAAGTTGCCCTAAGCTGCCTTGGATAAAGCGAAAAATTCAGCAGTCAGAAGTCAATTTTGTTTGACTTCTTAAACAATTTTTTTATTGCAATATTGTACTAATATATGAATATATATGTAATTTTAAGGAGAAAAATGCAAAGGTTTTAAGCATCCGCAGTCAAGAATTCCAGCCAAAATGCATTTGTGTAGATTGATGGTAATGGAAAAAAAATGTTATTATCATTTTAAACAATGGAGACCCGATTTGAAAACAGTATTTAAGATTAAAGATAAAACAGTACTTAAGATTCTATGTTATAGATTTTATTGTTCAGCTGTTCAACCTATACATAATTTAAATACCACTGATGCAAATAAAGATTTATTTCAGCTTAACAACATTTTGCAACAGTCTAACACTTGAAGAAGAAATTGAAGTAATTGCATGGGTTTATAAGACTTGGGAAAAGGTTGTTGAATAATTTTCCCACTTTTCTTGAAAAAAAATCAAACACTCTATACCAGCAGAGATAATAGAAATTTGGTTAGAAATCCTCTGACGCTAAATCTACCTCATCTCCTGGATTATTTTGCTGGGCTGGTGTTGGAGACCCTAAGTTACTTGTCCTTGGGGATTTCAGTTTCCCACAATGTGACAAAACGTCTGGGATTTCTCAAGCCATGAAGTTCATGGCTCCAGAGCAACCATGGATTTGACCCAGGTCATTGACAGTCCAGAACAAATTGGAGGTTGCACATTGCACCTGAGTGTTTTTTTTACTTGGGGCAAATGTGGCATGATCTGGTTTTAGAGGACATTACCATCCATCCATTGCCCTGGTCAAATCACTTTCTGATTGTTTTTTGGCTTGCTGGGGTGATCCCCCACTTGTTTAAGATTGTTATGTCCTACTGGGAAGCAGTAAGACCCTAAGACAGGGGCCTTCAAACTTGGCCCTTTTATGACTTGTGGACTTCAACTCCCAGAATTCCTCAGGCAGCGTGCCTCACTGAGGAATTCTGGGAGTTGAAGTCTACAAGTCATAAAAGGGCCAAGTTTGAAGACCCATGCCCTAAGAACTTCTATTGATCCTTATGGGGATTATTTTTGCTACAGTATTTTGCTGGCAGATAAAGTCACTCAGATCTATTCCCAATTAAAATCCACTGGGCAGGTCCAGTTGAGCTTCCTGGAGTTATCTGGGGAAAGTTTGAGACTGTGACACAAAAGTGAACAGAGTTCTCTGGATTGTGAACCTAGCTACCTGTGTGCTAGATCCAGGTCCCACCTGATTGATCAAATCTTCCTGAGATGTTGATCTTTGACTTTGAGGTTGTTTCCCGGATTTGAAAGAGGTAATGGTCTGCCAGCTCTTCAAGAGACCATTGGTGGACCCAGTGATTCTGGAAAATTTTCATCCAGTCTCCATCCTTTCACTTGAGGAAAAAGTTGTTGAATGGCATCTGCTTCCTGCACTATTTTGAAACTTTCAAAGAGCCTGATCAACTGTACGTAGGCTCCTTATTATACCTCAGTCTGGATTTTGTTTTGTTTTTTTCATAAAGGTCAACATAGCTGTTTTTGCTTTTTATTGAAAAATCACCAGAAACTCAGCACAAATAATTACTGTGAGATTAAATTAAGTTAGCCTTTAAGGCAGAGTCTTCAAACTTGGCCCTTTTATGACTGGTGGACTTCAACTCCCAGAATTCCTCAGCAGGCACACTGGCTGAGGAATTCTGGGCGTTGAAGTCCACAAGTCATAAAAGGGCCAAGTTTGAAGACCCCTGCTTTAAGGCATAGTTGAATGTAGCTACGGCTTTAGAGGATAAGCTTACTTGAGTTTTAAAAAAATAGTTTCTAGGCGGTTTCTTTGGTTTGTTGTTGTTGTTGTTAATTGTACCAGGAATGCTTGCTGCTGTTTCACTATAAAAATGATTTGTCTTCTCTCTCTGTTATTTTCCCCAGCTATTTCACAGGTGTCAGAGAGCAGTCCAGGGTTTGCACAACAAGTCTCGAAGCTGTACAAACCAAGAGTGCCGGCTTCTGAAGAACGTTGTGTGTTCCTTAGCTCAGTCTCTACAGGACCTCTCCACCAGCTTTAGGCACGGGCAATCTGACTATCTCAAACGTAAGCAATGCACCAAATGCAGCCTTTTATAGCAGGGCACCTTCCCTTCTTTCATTTGTGGCTGGAGAGTCTTAATGACAGCAGTCTTCTTGTTCTTGTAGGCATGAAAAATCGAGAAGAAAGATCCAAACATTTCTTTGACACCTCAGTCTCCCTCATGGACGATGGGGAGGATACGACACTCTACGATAGGGTAGGTCAGTGGTGGCGAACCTATGGCACAGATGCCAGAGGTGGCACTCAGAGCCCTCTCTGTGGGCACATGCGCCGTCACCCCAGTCCTAGGCCTTCAGCTGGGTTTTATAAAACCTTTTTGCTTTAGACCTCCGCTGCCATGTACAAAAAAAAAAGGTTCAATCAATCAGTCAATTTCAACTTCTCGCGGGGAAAAAAAAAGATCTTGCAAAGTTGGAATTGATTGATTGAACTTTTTAGTCCCACCCAGTCTGCCGTTACCACCGCAGCCACGCCCACCCAATGGGCCACGCCCACCCGGCACCCGATGATGCATAAGTGGGTTTTGGGTTGCAGTTTGGGCACTCGGTCTCTAAAAGGTTCGCCATCACTGGGGTAGGTAGTTAACTGAATTGTGTGTATGAAAAGTACAAAGCATCTGGTATTCATTTGCCTGCTATGAAGAATTTGAAGGTAATGATTGCATGCAGCCGTTAAGGATTAGTGAGTCTCTTTTATTAAGGTGCAAATTTTTTAGAAGAGACGAACTTTTGAAAACTACATACTATTTGCTAGCAGTCCAAAGAGTGAAAAGTACCTTCACCACTCCCTTTTTTTTCTCTCTCTCTCTCTCTCTCTCGTTTCCTTTCTGATATTTTTCTCTATTTCTGATTGTCCAGCAGGCTGCAAGGGAAACAATAAATCACTCTTGCAGGAGGGCTTTAGAATTAAGCCAGCAGTCCCATATTATCCCCTGGCTTAAGGCTGACTACCTGCTGCTAAAAAAAAAATTGCACTTGCTCTCTAGGATCTCTGCCAAAAATCATCCTCCAAGTTGCTGGAAAAAATCGTATCCCTGTTGGATTTTTAGACTCTTCGTTATAAACTGGTTCATTGGAACTCTCAAAAGGTGCAACCGAGCTCGGAAGGGCTGTCCTTGTGCCACAATTATAGCACTTATCTTTTTAAAAGAAAACTTTTAAGGGAAGAATTAAAGAGATGGCAGGGCGGGGGGGAAGAGAAGAATATTTTGAAAAGTAAAGGAGGACATTACATCGTGGGTTTGGCTGGGAATCTATGAGTATACAGTTCAGTTTGAAACCTTTTTTTTTTTTTGCATATTGAATGATGCAATGTTTTTAGCTATTTAGCTAATCTGGCATTTTTGTTTTTGTTTTAATAAGGGTTTTACAGATGACCAGTTAGTATTAGTGGAACAAAACACTATGTTGGTGGAAGAGCGGGAACGAGAAATTCGACAAGTTATTCAGTCCATTACTGATCTTAATGAAATTTTCAGGGATTTAGGAGCAATGGTAGTCGAACAGGTAAGTGGCTCCTTGATATCAATGCTATTTGCATCTTATAAGATCTTGGGTTTGAACATTGTACAGGTAGTCCTCGACCTCACACTTACGACCGTTGCAGCATCCCTGTGATCACATGATCAAAATTCAGACACTTGGCATCTGGTTCATATGTACGGCAGTTGCAGTGTCCCGGGGTCATTGCAAACACCTTTTGTGACCTTCTGACAAGCAAAGTCAATGGGGAAGCCAGATTCACTTAATAACTGTGGCAGGACAGGTTGTGGCATGGGGCAAAACTCACTTAACAACTGTCTCACTTAGCAACAGAAATTTTGGGCTAAATTGTGATTGTAAGTCAAGGACTACCTGTATGTGCATGTGTCCGTGTGTGTGTGTGTGTGTGTGTGTGTGTGTGTGTGTTTGTCCAGTGGATGTGAAAGAAGCTGAAGAAAAAGCATGTAAGACAATGAGGGCAAGAGAAAGATACTGTATTACCTAACATGCTTTAGATTGAAAAAAAGATAGTGGGAACAACGAAAAGTAAAATTGCAAAAAGCAGAGAAAATGCAGAATCATTTTGGGTGGGTGAAATGGATCCCAGAAGAACTAATGGAATTAAAAATAAAAGTCATCAAATGATTGAAGGGGAAATTGAAGGAATATTTTAGAGGTTTTTGTGGGAATTATAGTGATATGTTGACGATGGAATTTAAATGAAAGGTATACAATAATTATAAATGTCGAAATAAAAATAATTAAAAGGCAGGCATAAAAACCAGGAAGGGGTCATAATTTTTGCTCTTGTGTGTGCTTCTGAGAAATGTACAAGAAAGGAAGTTTCTTGTATATGTACTGAGCAAGAAACAAGACGAGGATGAATTATCTCCTTTTGGTTCTTCAATATATTTCTATATTGAAATATAGAATATTCAATATTTCTGTACTGAAATATATATATGTGGGTGTGGGTGTAAATATATATACATGCACATAGACACACACATTGTTAGAGGTGTAGAGGGAAGGTTCACCAGATATTCCACTTATTTTTGTACATGCTTTACTTTCATCATATCCTAGTTTTCCAGCATTCAGTAACCAACCCTTCAATTGATATTAATAGAAAACATTCTATAATTTAATACATATTGCATTTCAATCACTCAATCTTTAATTTCGTCACAGATCAACATTTCAGTCTACAGAACTGATGCATATTTTTTTTCTTCAGGGTACTGTACTGGATAGGATTGACTACAGTGTTGAACAATCATGCATAAAAACAGAGGAAGGATTGAAACAGCTACATAAAGTAAGCAGAGAATGTATTTCCAATGTCCTATTCTGAATGCCACTATTTCATACTGTTGAGGAGCTTATTATTACAATTCCAGAAATGTGAGGCATAACATTTTCTCTTTCCATGTCTATGATTTTAAAAGTTAAAAGGACAATAATGGCCGCTAAAATTAAGGGAATTAGACAAATGGCTCCTATCCTAGATATCTCAATGTCTAGCATTTAATGATTGTATGTTAATGTGATTACGTTCTCCTGATTATTCCACTGTGCAGTTCTCCCACATATTTCTTTTCAGTTGGTAGATGGGTATTCTACCTATTTCTTTTTACCCACAGAACTGTAAAATAGTCTAGGTGTAAAGGTTGAATTCACCTTTGAGTTCATAGAGTTGAGTTCTATGAATATTAAAATAATTTCCTATCTTATTTGTGGGATATAAATCAGTTATTAAGACTTATGCTACATATATTTATGCCAGAAAGGGAAAATTGATATATTTATAATTTGTTTGGTACCAAACTACCTATAGTAGTTTATATAATGAGAAATAAATGCAAATGAAAATCTAGTGTCCACAAAACAAAGTCCAGAAAACAACAAGAGCAAAAAAGAAAAATTGAGAAAACAAAAGAAACATTAGGAATTAAGTCAAAAAGGTTTTGTCTTTAGTTCCTTGGGATATAAGAGGAGTGAAATGAAAATGCAGTCAGGCTTTTAAGACTGACCAGAAAACTGACTTCACCAGTTTGATTAGAATATGTACTGATACAGACTGTAGTAACATAACCTTGAAAGCCTAAAGCCTTTTTCGCTTCCCTTATATAGGGAATGAAGGCAAAAACCACTCTGAGCCCATTCTTTTTTTTTTCTTCTGTCTTTTCCAAGCTTAAAGCACATTTTTGTGCATATTGTAGTCATCATCTCTGCTTAGTTTCTCCAAGGTCATTTCTGTGGCTCTCTAAAAATTATTCCTTATTTAGAATAATTTATTTTCTGCTATCCACAGGAAAGAATCTGTGTTAAATTCCTCTTTTCTGTGTCTGCAGGCTGAGCAGTATCAAAAGAAGAATCGGAAGATGCTTATCATTTTAATTTTGTTTGTCATAGTTATTGTCCTTATCATTGTCCTTATTGCTGTAAAATTTCGCTAGGCAATGTGCCAGTGATGTTTTTCTTTCTCTCTGTATTTGTCTGAGAGGTAGCAACAAATTTTTGTGTGTTGTGTTTCTCCTGTTTTTGTTCCTGAGAGGAATGGTTGAGCCTGTGCTCTTGAAAGCTGCCTGTTGGACGAATGTACGAGATCTAATGGTGCAAAGTCTGTGCAATGTTCATACAGAAAACCTGTTTTACATGTTCAGTGAATATGGAAGGCAGTGATTTGTAAAAAAAAATGTGTAGAAATGTCAGAATTTCTGAGAAAAGCTACCAAATCAGGCATTTCATTTATCCAGGCCACTGAAACTCTAGAATGCATTTTTAAAACCGATTTAAACATTTTGGAAAGTGCTTTTACTAAATAGGAATAATAATGTGCTTTCTACCATGACGTAGCCTACGGTTAATTTTAGGGTAAGCTGTCCAAATTGTGATGTGGACATCATTCCCAAAACTATCGAGTTGGAGATTTTAAATAATGCCTTAAACATACAATATTTCCACTTTACCATTCTCCCCTCCAGAGTTAGTATTAGTATGGGTTCACAGAAATAAAAAAGATTTCTAATTTCATTCTATTATTCCAAAAGTGGTGGTTGGCATTATCAATAATATTCTAATCGCAGGGAGTATTATTGTTTTAAGATTATTTTTAAGTTTTAAATAATCAGGAATGTGTTTTGATTATTTCCACCTCTTCCCACTATTGAACTGAAAGTTGTTTCTCTGATCCCTCTTTCTGAATCTTCCTTCTCAAACTGAATCTGTTGATATACAGCAGCAGTTACACATTTCATCTTATTGTTTTCAGAATGTGAAGGGAAAAGGGTGTGGTACAATTCATACACAGTTTAAATTGAACTAGTGACAATATCAGGAACTTACATCTAAATAAAATAACTTTTAAGCTGTGAGATCTCAGGAGAATTTGGAATCCTGTTCAGCCAAGAGCAGATGTTGCTCTGCCTCAGTATTACTGGTTTCTCTAACATAGTAGGTGGCTGTGCTGAAAAACAGTTTTTGTGATTAAATTATATTTATATGCTATATTTACAGTTAAATATATATATATATATTTAACTGTAACTTAAAATTGCATGGCAATTTGGGGCCCTTGGTGTTCAATCCTTTTTTTTAAAAAAGCATTTTGTACTGAAGAACTTAAAGGTTGTAGTTTGCATTCTCTTTTTGCTGTGATTTAGCAACACCACTTGCCAACTTTTTTTAATTGTCTTGGATTCTTATCCATTTGATTGTGCAATAATTGCAACGCTGCTGTGTACTTGTTACACCTTGTTTTCTTCCTTTCATCCAGCTCTTTGCATCGTTCAGATTTCTTGTATCTCAGACAGGGAAATCATAGCTCTCCCTTGGGTCACTGGGAGATTCTGCTTGCTAGATAAAGGGAGAATCCCACATAGCATTTCTATAGTTGAAGCCCCTTTGACGCAAAGAGGATTGCCACAAGAGAATTGTGTTCAGCTGTTGCTATTATTCTGTCAGTGAGAAGGTAAAGAAGTGCTCTTAGTGAACTCTGCTCATCTGTTTTGATTCGTCTCCTATCTACAGGAGGCTGCTTTATGCCTTCCGATACAGGGGACCATTGCTTCCTGGAAGAATGGAATTCAAGCTCTTTATATTACCATCTGCAGCAACTATCAGTTGTACAGGTAGATTTGCGATTTGAACAAGTTCTGGCCCAGCCAAATAGCAGTGAATAACAAGATACAGATAGCATGAGAAATATGGAAAGTAAACATACTGTATTTTATGCATGTGCAAAAATCCACTTGCTCCTTGTGTATGCATAAAATAGACAAAAATATGCCAAGAATGATGGTTGCCAGGGTCTGGTCTGTATTTTCTAACTGGATAACAAGGGCTGCCTGTATTTGCTGAAAGTATCATTCTGTTACCTAAAGTAGAATACCAATTATAGCTGACCTCTTTCTTTTCAAAACAAGAAAAAGCTGAGCATGTTGACTTAAGTTTTTCCATGATTTGGTCGAAATAACCAATTTCAGCAGGCCATGTTTAACCTCCTTTTGCCATGTTTGTTTGTTATTAAAATCTTTAACCAATTTCATTAGGTTTAATAATAAGGCAAATATTTATAAACATGTACGTAAAACCAATGGCATGATTTGGAAAGGGCCATCTTGTATGTCAATGTGTGTGTCAGAAATAGTGTCCTTGAAGTCAAGCTTGATCCTTGACTACTCTGTGGATACTCTACTGTCACTTGGCAAATATATGAAAATGGTTGATCATTGCCTTCTTTTTTGGATGATGTCTAGACTTCCAAGTGTGGCCTACACCTTAGAGTTCCCCCTGCTTGGCTCTGAAAATATGCACATAGGTATAAATATTGCAATCTATTTATCACTGTGGGTTTAATTAAAACTGGATTGATACAGAAACAGGCTATCTGTCTCCTCCAAGAAGAGGACTAGGACATAGGAGTGAAATAGGGAATCATAGAAAAGGATTGAGCCAAGAGAAAAATGTTTTCTCTAAAGAGGATGGTGGATAGAACAAGCTGGATGTTTGGAAGAAAAAGATATTTTACTGCTAAAAAAAAATCACTGCTATTCTGCTAACCGTATGTGGGTTAATAAAATATAATTTGGTGGCATGTTACTGCCACTAAGGTTATTTGTGAATACTGTTTTGAGGTCTCATTTGTATTTCTGTCTACTGCAATATATTTTTGGAATTATCCCCAATCCAGAGATTCTCTAAAGTCTTTTAAAAAATCTTAAATCATGAGAACAAATCAGTGTAAGATATGTACATTCCAAGGGGTGGGTTTTGCGGTTTGGAGACTCCTTCTGTTCATTTGATCATGGTTTCATGTAGCATCACTGTACTTTGGGAAGATTTTTTTAAAAAAGTGTATTTAAAATTATTTATTTAAAATGCAATAGTTAAATAAGTGGGATTTTTTTTCTACACTGAGGATTCTTTGACTGACCCATTGGTAAAAAAAATTAACTGGCTTGTAGTTTAACTGGGCCGAAAAAGGTCAGGCAAGAGATAAGTTAGCAATTTTCAAAAGACTGGCCAGAGATTTCGTTCTTGTCTGCCTGATTTGGTGCTTCCTCTGTTTTGGTAGGTTTATTGCATAAAATTTACTGGGGTGTTTTCTCTGTACCAACTCCCCCAACCAGCAGTCCTAGCAGACTCGGTCTTCAGAACAACTGCTGGATGCTTTATCTCTCAGGCAATATTCTTAGTAAGCCTTTTTATTTCCTAAATAAAATTGGCTCCCTACAACTTGCCCTCTTTGGAAAACTGGAAAACCAAAGCTGAAAAGTAGCAGCACTCTTTTATCCAAACAACTGATTGTTACAGACTGATTAGAACTATTAATCGGGTGAAAAGGAGATGTAACACTGACTTTCTTGCAACCATTCACTGTTGAATGATGCTTGTGGTGTGTTCCAGAAGGTCTTCCCTTCAGCCTGTTTCAGGTTGAATGCTTTTGAGATTAGACAGGATTTAAAGCTACAAAGGAGATCTACAACCTGCCCTACCGCTTTGTGTATTGCTGCCAAACAGCCTTTCAGCAAAACTCCAAACCTTGGTTGGGCGCAGAATGAAGGCTCCTGACACACCCAATTAAGGAAAATTATCCTGAATGAGAAATCATCAGCTGGATACATTGCGTAGGGACTTGAGTAGGACCAACTATGGTTTCAAGCAATGATGGATTTGCTTTCAAATCAAATGTATTTATGGTGTATGTAACGGAAGGGATCTCTGTTTTTACCCAACAATGTACAGTCTATTTTCATCCATGTCTGTGGAAAATTTGTAATGTATGAATAAACTATTCAACTCTAGCTAGAAGCCAATTTCTTCTCTCTTCTCTTCCTTTAAAACTCACAGGAGGATCACTTAATCTTCAGGTAGCCTCATTTGCCCATTAAAATCTAGTATTTTCTTCTGTTAATTTATTTAACATAATAATCTAAGAGATCTTCTATTAATGTAACATAAAAATCCAATGGAGCAAGTTGCCTCCAGAAGTTGTGGATGCTCCGGTGGGTTTTTAAAGAAACTATTGGACAACCATTTGTCTGAAATGGTACAGGATAGGGTTTCCTGTCTGAGCAGAAGGTTGGACTAGAAGACCTCCAAGGCCCCTTCCAACTCTGTGATTCTGGGTCTACTACTGCAGGGGTCTCCAACCTTGGCAACTTTAAGACTTGTGGACTTCAAGTCTTCAAGTTGCCAAGGTTGAGGACCCTTGTACTACTGGGCTCATTCCTCCCCTTTCCTTATTTGAAAGGCTCCATCAATTCAGCTTTGTCATATGCCCGTGAAAGCTCGCTAGGTTTCAATCTGGATTTATTCACCCTTGGAACATTTCCTCGTGGGCCAATGCAACGGATGTGTGTGTGTGTGTGTGTGTGTCCACGTGGATCAACCTTTCTCTGAAGCTCGGCAGAGGGGCGTTCCTCTTCACCTGGCGCCTCTCCTACCTGTGAATTTTCTACCTGGACCAGACTTCAGTTAAACCTAGCTGGGGCCCCAGGAAACAGCCTTTAATCACCCTTGGAACATTTCCTCGTGGGCCAATGCAACGTGTGTGTGAGTGTGTGTATGTATCCACGTGGATCAACCTTTCTCTGAAGCTCGGCAGAGGGGCGTTCCTCTTCACCTGGCGCCTCTACCTGTGAATTTTCTACCTGGACCAGACTTCAGTTAAACCTAGCTGGGGCCCCAGGAAACAGCCTTTATTCACCCTTGGAACATTTCCTCGTGGGCCAATGCAACGTGTGTGTGTGTGTGTGTGTGTGTGTGTGTGTGTGTGTGTGTGTGTNGCTAGGTTTCAATCTGGATTTATTCACCCTTGGAACATTTCCTCGTGGGCCAATGCAACGGATGTGTGTGTGTGTGTGTGTGTCCACGTGGATCAACCTTTCTCTGAAGCTCGGCAGAGGGGCGTTCCTCTTCACCTGGCGCCTCTCCTACCTGTGAATTTTCTACCTGGACCA